TAAGCCTAAAATGAGCGAACAAGCCTGCAAATGTATGTAATTTCAATAAAGCAATAATCAATAATCCTTTAAAATTAGAATTATAGAGAAACTTCAAAGCAATATTAAGATATTTCATATGTACATAAACTGAAATTATAACTCGAAATTCCTTCTAATTACTTATGGCTAAAGTTTTTAACAAACGCGCAATTGTCTATTTGCTTAAATATAAAGAAAAAAAATGCTAAATTCAAAGCAAATAAGGAAATAAGAAAAACTTAGCGTACGAATTACAGACTTTATCTGTTTAAAGGTTTGCCCAAGGAAGAATAGAATTCCACAAATCAAACTTTATCTTCTGAAACTTTTGCTTTCGTACAAGAATAGAGTTGGGGTTTCAGAGGGACACATCCAATCAGCTAAAAGTAAGTTAACAGAGTTTAAAACTTCATTGGTGTCTTTCTCTGGAGAATATTTCGAAATCTCTGGATTTACTGTTGTATCCAATTGGGAGAAGAAGAATATCGATATTCTTCAGTATCGTTGAATATAATGACTTTTAAATTCAAAGTAAATTATTTGTTTTGTGAATTCAGTTTTTATATTTGGTGTACGACATACTGCTATAATTGTGGTAATGAAATATAAATCTATGGCATATATGGCAGTAAATTCTGGTTTTTAAAATTATAGTCTTAGTATACTCATTATCTAAAGTTACAAAAGTGAAAAGTAAACTTTAAAAAATCGAACACATGGTTCTTATGCCATGTTATAAAGCATTATGATAAAGTTACCAAATTTTAACACATTATTTAGCATATATATATATACAATATATATATATACTTAGAAAANCATATATATATATATATATATAAATAATATTATTCGGTAAAACTTACCGTGCTTCTTGGTTTTTCCATAGAGTCAGAAGCATGGTAAATTGCACCATATTCTGGTAAGTTTGACTATGCTTTTTTTAGAGCAATATAAAGGTCTTAATTTAGATCTCCAATCCTGTAATTGTAAAATTGTTCGATAAAAATTATTTGTAATAAGAAAATAATGCTTTACCACTTTTACATCGTTACAATATAAAAATTCGTGTTTCAATGATTTAGTAAACGGGCAATAATAATTTACGTTTCCCAATAAATTTGCCCTCTAGTATCTATGTTTTTCTTTTCTGGAAAATAATTTCCACCCCAATAAATTTGTTTTCCGTCTTACCTCGCTTTTTTTTTATTTTTACGTTTTATTACCCGCACCACCTATTGTTATCGATTCGAAAATCTACGAAACAAATGTTGAAAAAGTAATTTAAAACTTCAAAAAATCTTAATGACTTACCTATTCAGTTATTCTAATGATTATAAATTAATTATTTCATTGAGTTTAGAAATATTTAATGATAAAACATTTCACATCGAATAATTACTAAAATAATTCAGAAAATTAATACTCGAAAGCAATGGAATTAATCTATGCATAACGATAATTGCTCCATTTCCATAGCTTGTAATAGGAACTATGATCTAAATGACTTATGGTGATATTTCAACAAATTTAATTGCATTTCTGAATTTAATATTTTGCCATTGGTTATAATTTAATGATGAAGCTCAATGATAATTATTAAATTAATATTTTTCTAATTAAAATGTTTAGAAACACTCTCTAGTACTTTCATCTTCCTTTGGGACTACTTTTGCATTAATGATACTTAAAGTGCAACTGATAATTTATCCTCTTTAGAAAATGGATATATATGATAGGAACAGAAATTAGATATATTTAAGTTGTTATGATAAAAGTCATATTAATACCATTTATAATTACTAGTAACCAATTAATTATAATATGAGTTGAGTAAAATAACTTGTAATTAATATTATTTGGATACACATTTATCTGAAGTTTAAAATTAAAAAGCTTTCTTTTCAGTTATAATTAGTATATTTGCGTTATGTTAATTTTCTAGAATGAATATATAAAGCACAAGAAAAATTTTAAACCTCTTAATTTTGTTATAAATTTCTGGGGATATAGTATTCAATTTGTTTTTTGAATTATTAGTCTCTTTTGTCCAGCATTATAAATATGATTGTCTTTGGAATTTCCAAATCCATTGAGGGAATCGATGTATTTTTTTTTTAAAAAAAGAACTTTGATTAGTTATCCCTTACAAGAAAATATGGTAGTTTTGAGGTGGACAGGTATAAAATAAATACACATGAGGTAGAAAATGATGTTTTGGTTTACACCAAAAATAACCTCATCCATAAACCTAAATTTCCACCTCATTTGCACCTCACAAAATCAAAATCATATGTAAGTAATCAATACTTTTAATAGAGATCGGGTGATTTTCTTGACCACTGTACCACACTAAGAAATCCAATTAATTTTTCTTCTTAATAAATTGAATACGTAGAATAAGTGGACTATCAAATTGTTTTTATCACAAGAGGTCAACATATATTTTACAAACTGTTTATTACAAGGGTAAAGTAAAATTATTAAACACTTTTATACCAGCTTTGTATGAATAATCATTTTTCAGCAGCAAATGATTTCAGATTTTACATGGCTATATTGTTGGCACAATTCGAAAGATCATGCCTAAAGCTTTTTAAAAAATTTTTTTTTACCCATGGAAAATTTGCATCGACCATAATGAGCGTATGAATTTAAAAGCTGGTATATATATATATATATATATATATATAATTTTGCTCAATTTCTGTAGAAACAGTTGCATTTCTAACGGTAAAATTTTACTTTAAATGTAAAATAAATTTGCTTCCAAATGCTTAATATAACGGTCTAGTAATTTCGAAATGAAATTTTAATAGGTCAAGAGCTGGGATAAACTTCAGTTGATAGTAAACTGATGGAACGCATACAGGAATAAATTTCAGTTCATGGCGAATTGTTAGGACAACTACTAAATATTTTTGTATCTCGGGATCTTTTTGGCTATTGGTTTGAAATGAATCAGTGCGAGCCAATAGTTTTTAGTGTTTTTTATTTAAACTTAACGAAACGATAACAAACAAAAGACTGAAGAGAAAAACTATGTATCCTTACAGATGGGCACACTGCGCCATCTATCGCAAGGTAAAAATTTAATTTAATGGAAGGAAGATGTAACATCCTCCAACCGCAAAAGGTTAAAGTTTAAAATTATCAAAAATTTTAAATAAAAGTTAAAGTATAATACAAAATTGAAGTTAAAGCTTAACAGGTTTGACTGTTGATCTCAGAGTTTTACCTGCAATGCTTGTTGTTTCTAAACGAAATAATCGTTGAAATGGTCGAATTATTTCGCCATTTTGAGTCTTAACCTTCGCAACTCGGGAAACACCATCACGTCCTTTATAAATTTCAATTACTTTGGCTAGAGGCCAATCAACACGTTTTTTATTATCTGAACTGATTAGAACCATATCTCCCACTTCAAGTGGGGATTGATGAGAGTGTCTGGATTGCTTAAGGAGTGAAATATATTCTTTATAGAAACGCGTTTTTAGTTTTTGCTTAATGGAGTGAAGGTGTTTCGCGCGTTTGCGAAGATTCTGCATATCATTTTGATCGAGATCATCAACACAAAATTCAGTCTGATCCTGTAAAAAGAGAGAAGGAGTTAATGGCACTAGATCTGATGGTTCTTCGGAGAGGTAAGTAAGAGGTCTACTATTAAGTAGACCTTCACATTCACACACAACTGTGTACAGTTCTTCGTAGTTAAGACACGCTTTTCCTAAATAGCGTCTCAACAATTTCTTCAACATTCTTATCACCCTCTCCCACCAAGCATCGGTAGGTGGGTTGAAATGCCAGGAGATTTTTTTTCAAATCTGAGTGAGCAATGATGACATTCCAGTCTATACTTTTCAGTTCGTTGTTTGCACCAACAAAGTTTGTGCCATTATCTGAATAGATTGATTTTACTCGACCTCGACGTGAAATGAATCGTCTCAAGAAAACTTTGCGTGGAGATGTCCGAAACAAGTTCGAAATGTACCGCACGGTACACGGCACACGTGAAGATTGCAATCCAAACTTTATCACGATTTCGTAGAACCAAAGGGCCAGCTAAATCAACTCCAGTTGTTTCGAACACTGCTGATATTCGCACACGTTCTTCTGGAAGAGGAGCAAACATCGTCGTAGCAGATTTGGATTTAAATCTTTGGCAAATTACACATTTGGAAACAACTGATCGAACGGTTTTTCTTGATCGCAAAATCCAGTACTTTTCACGAAGGGTTGTGACAAGTGTTTGTACACCTACATGGCTGTAGGTCCGATGAGTCTCTTCGATGAGTTTGAAAACTAGTTCATTCCTGTCTGGCAACAGGATAGGACGTCTGAAAAAATCACCATCACCAGTCGAGATAAGTTTTGTCTCAACTCTTAGAAGACCACTAGAGTCGCGGTAAATGATGAAATTGGGAGGTATCAGTCGACGATTTTTCCCAAATGAATCATTTTGTATGAAAAGGAGTATATCGAGCTCAGATTTGGTGAGCTCTTCTTCTTTTAAGTTTCCATTCAAGAGGGATTCATTCTGTTTATTGACTACTGATTTAGCATTGAAGATCAATCGTTTAACATAGGCCAAAATTCGAACGATTGTAGAAAATTTCGAAATTCGCTTAGTCCATTCGAAAAAATTAGGTTCGGAATTACCTAAAAAAAGATTTGTCGTAACTGTAGGTTTTTGCTCCAAGGTAGCAAGTTCTAAAGCGTCTGAGAAATCAACATTGTGAGTGTTTGGCCAAGAGTCTCGATTTTTTTCTCGTGGATGTAACGCACAAACTCTTTTCACTCTTCGTTGGACCCTCCCACCAACGAAGAGTGAAAAGAGTTTGTGCGTTACATCCACGAGAAGCGATGTCCGCTGCATTCATTTGAGATGGGATATAACACCAATGTTCTTTAGATGAGTTCAAGTGAATTTCTTGTATTCGGTTATTCACAAAAGTTTTCTATGTTCCGGGATTTTTGATTCAACAAAGAACCACTTTAGAGTCAGTCCAATAGAAGGTTTCGATATCAGAAATGTTTAATGATGTCTTGACTGTCTGAACAAGACGAGTACCTATCAATGCAGCTAAAAGTTCTAATTTTGGAATAGACATTTCAGTTTTGTTTTTGGTGATGGGATTCTTTTTTAGAGGAGCGACACGTGATTTTGCTTGCACTAATTTAATTTGAACTTCTTTTTCGCATTCAATTCGCAAAAATACGCACGCCGCGAAGTCTTTCCCACTAGCGTCACTAAACATGTGAATAGTAGTTGATTTATTAATTAATTTTCCAAAATAACGCGGAATTTGAATTAATTTCAAAAATCCTAAGCTGAATAGCCAGTTTTTAAATTCCTCCACTATTTCAGATGGAAGTTTATGATCCCATCCCAGCTTATCATTTTTCCATGCTCTTTGCATTAGAAGCTTTGGAATGAGCGTCACGGGTGCGGTAAAACCGATTGGGTCAAATATTTTTTGGGAAATCGACAAAAGTTGCCGTTTTGTACATTTGTTATGTTCTTCAGTTGTGACGCTGCTAATATCACATGTTATTGTATCTAAATTGGGTTGCCATAAAAGTCCGAGAACAGGAGAATATCTATATTCTTTTAAATCCAGATTTTGTTTTTCACCCTGTGAGAAAGAAACCCAACCCGTAAGCTCAAACCCTGCTTGAGACATAATTTGACAAGCTATCTTTGAAAATCGCTCTAATTCCCATTTGTTTTCAACGCTTGTCACTACATTGTCAACGTAAAATGCATCTTTCAATTTCACAGCGATATCATTTTCAGTTTCCTTCATTTTATCCAAATGGTGATAGATTGTTGCCATGAGCAAAAACGGACTCGATGTAAGGCCGAATACCACTCTGCAATGTTTGTATATCTTAATTTTGCGTTTTTCAAAATCTTCCCACCAAAGAAAGTGAAGAAAATCTCTATCAGAAGAGGACACGCTTATTTGAAGGAATGCTTTGCGGATGTCGGAAATGACGCCAATTTTTTCTTTGCGAAACTTATTTAGAACGAAAGGAATCAATTCAATATAATTTGGACCTGTAGCTAAACATTGATTTAAGGAAACAGAATTTTCGTCTTTCGAGGAAGCATCAAAGTTAAACTAGAAGTTGTTAAACTAGACTCTCTATAAACAGCTCTGTGAGGAAGATATCGGCATTTTATGTCAGATAAATTTTTTAAATTTGTATTACTAGACACTTGTTCTATGATTCCCATTTGTTCCCATTCCTTAAAAATTTTGTCATACGAATCAAATTTTCCCGAAGAAATAAGCTTCAAAGTTATGGAGTTTAAACGTTTCTCCGATTGATATCGCAAATCACATAATTCCGGATGGCCTTCGACCCATGGAAGATTAACTTCATATCTACCATCACGAAATTTAACAGATTTTTCGAAAAAAGATAAAGTTTCAATATCAATTTCTGTTTTTGTTTTATTTTCTACGGGATCTCTAATACCAAGAATATCTAATGACCAAAGGTCGCAAATTTTGCTAGCGCTATGTAGCGAAATTATGGGCATAAGATGAGTAGAACTATTTTTATAGGATGCTGGTTTCCCCATTACTACCCACCCTAGGTATGTTTGGACAGCAGTTAACCCATTTGGTCGCTGGCTGATAGAACCAGTCAAAAATGTTCCTAAATAATCAGTGCCAATAAGAACTGATATGTTCGAATTATCGTTTTCACTATCGGGCAAGTAAATTCCATTATTAGTGAAGTATTCTACATCAGATTTTCTTATTTTAGGAATCATACCACAAATAGTTTCTTTATCTAATAGTATCTATAGTATAGTATCTTTATCTATAGTTTCTTTATCTTCACACGAAAAATTTCCTCGAATTTCCTGAAGCTCACACTTTAAGGCTGAATGTTTTATTTTTTCCGTTTCAATACCACCAAATAAACTGTGTGTCAGAAATTCAGAATGATCAGTTTTTAAGTTTAAATATTCTGCAACATCGCGAGTTATATACGATCTTTGCGAAGCTGAGTCGCATAAACAACGAACAACTTTTGTTTTCGAAGGTCCTAATACTCTTATTTGAAGAGTTTGTAATAAAATATCTGCCGAACCGGATGAGCTATTACTGACGACGTTATTAGTTTCGGTTTTGTTCAAAGAAGAAAAAGTTTTTTCCTCTTCTTTGCATAAATTAGGACACAAAATAGGAAAGTGTTTTTTGGAGCAAATTACACACCGGACACTCATTCCACATTTATCCGCACGACAATTAATTCTAAGACACGCCAAACATGCTTTCATTTTTATTACTTTTTCTTTTCTTTCTTGAAGTGTCATTTTTTGAGCAGTAAAACAATCACAACTTCTGTGAGTGCCCTTTTGGCAAAATAAACAAAATACATTTGTTTTGCGTTTATCATTTTTTATTTGATTAAACAAAGTTGAAGCCGTCGCGCCTGGCGCCGAGATCATGTTTTGATTATTTTCTGTTTTTAATTTCCCCGTTCTATTTTTATCCGTAGTACAAAAATTTTTCGCAATACGAATCCTTTCTGAACCGATCACTTCGTTCCGAAGGAATTGCATTAGTAATTCAAGGTCGTGTATGTTTGCATTTGTTGAACGAGAAGTAGAATTTCTTTCTCTTTCCCACGCAATTAAAATATGCTCTGGAATTGACGCTTCGACTAACGGATAAAGCATGCACGCGTATTTTTCTTTAGTAACACCTAAATTTTCTAAGCAGCGCAATTGAGTATCTAATTGATCTACTAAATTAATGAAAGGCATGTTTTGGGATTGATTTAAAATTAGTTTTAATAATTCGCGTACATATAACTCGATTAGCATTTTATCATCCGCAAAACGTGATTTTAGATTTTTAATAACAGTTTTATATTCACTTTTAGAAACTTGATAAGACTGAACAAAATCGAAAGCCTTACCTTTTGTTGTTTGCATCAGGTAGGCGAATTTTACGTCGTCCTCTATTTTAGGATCCTCATCGATTTTTTGGAACATAGCCCAAAATGCGAACCAATTTTTGGGATTTCCGTCAAAGTCTGTTAGCTCGAGTTTCGGTAAATTGATGCTAATCCGATCTGACGATATGACTTCTGCTTGCTTGTTTACACTTCCGTAGGATTTCGAAAACTCTTGGAAGCGCAGTTTCGCTGCAGTAACGTTATCTCTGTAATTTTCACATTGTTCCAATTCTTTTTCTAAAACTTCATCAAGATTTGAGGATTTGGATTTTACTTCTTCTTTATCAGTCTCGGTTTGATCCTCTGGATTTAAAGACAGATATTTAAAAACGATTTCGTCATTTTCAAACAATCTCTTCGATTTTTCTTCAAGTTTAGCAAATGCTACTGATGCTGACTGGATGTTGTTACCTTCGATTGAAGATTCCAGTTCATTTATTGTTTTTGTTACGGCTGTTCGAAGAACTTTTCTTTGAATTAAGCAATTGTTATCCATATTTTCGTCAATGGATATTTACGTTGGAGCGCCAGATTTTGTATCTCGGGATCTTTTTGGCTATTGGTTTGAAATGAATCAGTGCGAGCCAATATTTTTTAGTGTTTTTTATTTAAACTTAACGAAACGACAACAAACAAAAGACTGAAGAGAAAAGCTATGTATCCTTACAGATGCGCACACTGCGCCATCTATCGCAAGGTAAAAATTTAATTTAATGGAAGGAAGATGTAACAACTAAATTAAACTCTAAATAATCGAGCAAATAAGTTGCGCACAGGAATAAAATTCTGTGGTGAACTGATGGGACGCATACTAGAATAAATTTCAGTGCATGGTGAACTGTTGTGGCATGCACTAAATTAAACTCTAGATAGTCTTGACCGGATGGGGCATGGACTAGAATAAATTTCAGTTCGTAGAGAACTGATGGGACAAGCACTAAGAAAAGTTATACATCGTTGTGAGCTGATGGGCATGCACTAAAACAAACTTTTGGAGATATGATTGGACAATCTGTACTTTAAACTTCAGTTCATGCTTGGCTGATGAGACAAGAATTATATAAACTTCAGTTAGTGGTAAACTTATAGGAGATTAGAATAAACTTCAGTTTTGTGGTGAACTTATGTGAAAAGCATTAAAATAAATTTAGTTCATGGTTAAAATTTTGATTGAAACTAATCCAGGTTAGCACTGCATAAAGAAGAAAACTTTAGCAAATCTTTAGCATTATTCCAGTGCCTACAGAGCCAGAACTTATTTTAGAAATCCTCTACCGGTATTCATTTCTTGAGTGCAAGCCCGAACAAGTATAGGAAAAAGAGATTCGAACAAAGACCAAAATTATGGAGAAGCGAGCACATTGAATGTGCTCGCTTAGCAATCCAGCACCAGGAATGTTCTATCGCAATTTAACAATTATGCAATTTTTTTTTTAATATTGATAAAACAGTATGTCTGCGCTTATTTGAATGCTAATGTAGACAATAATCTTTAGAAATTATAAGGTTAACGTAAATTTTAGATTAATTTTTAGATTAATTTTTTCATTTATCTAAACTTTCCAAATGCGCACGGATGTCCAGGTCATAATAGGTAAGCCCTCTTATTGAGATGTATAAATGCAACTAAATAATTAATATTTCTTTGTTTTTTAGGAAAAAAAAACCCTTTCCTATTTGCTTAAATAAAATTTGATTAATCCTGAAGTGTACTTAAGATTTATATTAAGGACAATATATATATCAATAAAAAACTATTAAAAACTTTATGTTCTTTTCTACTTCAATGAAATCAGATTGCAATTCTAGCATTTGATTTCAAACTATTGAAGCTCATTTAGTAATTTAACTTCATTGCATCGCTTTATGTTTCAGTTTGTATTTTTATTTTTTCCTTTATGAGAATAGAAACAATTCGCTACCTAACATCTTGTTTTGATATGGTCAGAAATAGAAAAAAATAATGAATAGTTATTTAGCATAAGATAGATAAAAAAAATTTCAAAACAATATTTAAATAATTGAATGCATATTTTGAGCAGCGAAAAACTTTCGAACAGTTCGATTCTTTAACTTACTGACTTAAACTTAAACTTTAAAATTTAATGTCTTCAACTCGATTATAATTCAACGTAATTAGATATATTTTTAAAGCAACGCATTACAGCATTTGAGTTTATTTAGCAAAATTGTGGTGTTTTGTTTTTCAGTTTCCATTTTAACTCTTTTTTTTAAATAAATAAAAATAAATGCCTCATGTAAAAACTGACTTTTGACTAATCAAAACCATTCATGAAAATAGGAAAAAAGATATATATAAAAAACTATATATTTAGGGAAATAATGCTGGAAATATTTAAGACAATACGCATTTAAAGAATAGACTGCATATTTTAAACAATCTACTTTCAACGTCATTGGGATAGTTTGAGTCGAAAAGACTTTACTATAAATTCTCGAAAACAATTACATCTGTTCATCAATATAAATTTCAGTATCCCCACGGTATTTTACATGTAAAAAAAGGAATAAACAAGTAAAAAAGTTGATTTTCCTGGAATTGTTTGATATTAGTAGAAATCCTCAAGAAAAATATTTAATTTTGCTTAACAAAGGAATAAATATTTATAAATACATGTTCATAATTGTTAAGAAAATAGCATTTTTTTATTTGCCGAAACATTTTCAGGTAGAAAAGATTGTTTTCGATCATTTATTTAATAAAAATGGTTTTGTCGCATTCAATTCAAATTTCTAATTAATTAGAAAGCATTAAATTTAAATCTCAACTGATTTTATTACAATTAGTTTTCAAAAAATAAATTTAACAACACATATCATTACTAACTTGCCCTTTTTTTGTTAGAAAAATAATACCCCATTAATACAATCCAACAGATTGCTAAAGAATTTTAAATTTGAACCTTACAAATTTTTGACAATGAAGCATTTCAAATTGTTAGTAAGATTTTTTTTTCTTTTTAATTTTTTTTTTCACATTTATAATTTTAAATTGAATTTATAAAAATTTTTCTTATTAGAAATTTAAACTTCATTTGGAATTAATATAAATATTACTACCTAAATCAACAGAGAAATTATGATATGTTTACCAAATTCTAAAATTTTTGAATTATTAACACTTTTAAATGCTTTACTCATATAAATATTTATTTCGAACGTCAAATAGATTAATCAAATACAGCAAAAAATAAATAAAATATTTGCCATCCAAATAGTAAACTCGTTTATTATTTCTCATTTATTATGCGGGCCAGAAATTTTTATTTCGTATCGGATATATAAAATGGTGTAATGTAGCAAGTCTCCTAGTGGTGTATCTAGGTTAACGCAAACTCTTCTGCAATATCCGTCAAATTTTATAAGATTTATCTTTATTTTTTCCTGAGTCTATTTCTGGGCAAGAAGTGGTTAGTTTTTCAAATATGGAAGCGTAAAACAGATCAAAACTTCCGGATCAACTGGTAGCATTTGAATTCAATTTGAATTCACAACAAATATTTTCAAAACAAATTATAATTATAGTCAGTGTGAAGAATTAAAATAAATTATTGCAAAAAAGTTTTCGTAAATATTTTACAATTTATTTGAACAAAGAGTACCTATTTCTGACAATCATGATGGCAACTGTGCCAAAAAATTCTGATTAAATTATCCTACCGTATGGTAATACCATTTATGGTAAAAAAACATACTTCTGATTAATAAAATTAAAATATACGGCATTTAAATAATTCATTGTGGTATTCAAATCATAATTTTTCCGTTAATATAGTGACAGTTTACCGGAAATTCTTGTTTTAAAAATTACAGATCTTATTACCACACATTTAATAAAATTAGTAAAAAATACAAAATTGAAAAGTAAATGTAACCGAATGAAGACTTTTAATGAAATGATCGAAGGTGTTATAAAAATATTACCAAATTTTATCATATATTATCAAACCATATTTTGTGGTTACTTTCCTCAAATTCATTACCAAAGTTCTTCGGTGAAAATTACCGAGCTTTTTGGTGCTCCCATAAAACTAGAAACACGGTAAATTTTACCATACTCTGGTAATTCTGACGATACTTCTTTTTACTGATGAATGTGTCTTGTACTCATGCGTAAGTCTGATAGTTCCGGAACCGTCTGTACTAGTGTTAAGATCTATAGATTAAAAAAAAAGTTAAACTGGAAGTTGATCGTATGTCAAGCTCGTTCACTGCAAGGTTATTAATTATGTCAATTTATTCATTATGTAAGCTAACGCAAAAAAATAAATGAGCAGCATGTGAAACGTGAATAGTCTATACCATTAAAAATAAAACTAAAAGCGTCAGGTTTAAATAGGATAGGTATTTATAAATATTCATAAATGGCAATAAAAGATAAATTAAATTTTACTCAGTAAATTGTTTTTATAAAAACTCAATTTAGTGTTTTGATATACAGAGAAAGAGAAAATGGTTTATCCCGAATAACCTTTAATCTAATGATTGGATATTCAAGTTCTTGGACTCAATCTTAATTTTTCGAAGAGGTGACTTCAAATATACAAATTAATTAGAGCGGATGATATTAAGTTATAGAAAGAACGTACTTTCTATGAATAATTCATGTTTTTTCAACGGATTCAGATCCCTGATCAGTGAAATATACAGGGTTGCCGCAATCTGGAAAATCCCGTCCCAATAGTTTTGTCAGAAGAATGGACCAAAGTTTGAGCCCCTTAATGTCAATTCTACTTTTTGCGTAATTCACGATATCTCGAGAACTTCTTAAACGAAACGAAAAACTTTGCACGCAGTTATAAAATTCGTCCATTCAATGATTCCATCTAAAAAAACTATTCATTATTTTTTACTGTTCAAAAAAAAAGATTACGATTCAATAGTTCCTCGACTACTTTTTAAAGTTTACAATTTTCGAAGTTCACATCATTTTACAGTATCGTTACATCACTTTTTATCGTTGCATCATCGTTTACATCATTTTAAAGTATGCAATTCTAAATGACACGATACAAAATTTGAGCGAAATTGGTATAATAGCTCATGATAAACTAAATTTTAAAATAGGTTTTTTATAATGATCAATGCACTAATTTCCATATTAGAGGTCACTTGTAGTATTAATGATGGAAAAAGTTATTATAGTTTTAATTGTTTTCTAAATAGGAAGATATACTGACTTAAAGTGCATGGCATGAACATTATTGATAGAGTCAGAATAAGCTGATGTTAATTTTCTCATTGCGTGAGAACTGCCCTCATGACTGCTTTATACATTGACTAATGCTTTGCTTCGTCCTATTTTTACTGTCGAGTAGAAAGGTATTAAAGACCTAAATAGCATCAGTTTAAAGCAGCTTAATGACCTAGTGATAAACGCCATCTTTTTATTTAATTGCCATATTTATATCATCATCATGTATTTCCATTTCATTCATTTAATAAAATGGTACAGAGGTGACTGCAATAATTAGG